TTTAGGGAGTTGCTTGCAGCAGCCTCGTCGTCCGCCCCTCCACGCCAGAGAGGGGAGCCGGGAGGAGGGGGTGTCGGAACAGCCGGAGATAGGCAGACAGGACTGGCTGCGCCGTTGGCTGCGCAGCGCGGCTCGGCCGCCGCCGCCGGGGCTGCAGCAACTGCCCGGGGCGCCGCCGCGTCCTCCGCCCCAGCACTCCCCACCTCCTGCCGGCCCCGCCGGCTCTCCGCCCGCTGCCGCGCGAAACACGGGGGCGCACCGGGCGCCTCCGGGAACCCGCTGGGGGCGCCCCGGCGCAGGAGCCCCGCTCCCGGGACACGTCTCAGCCCGGCGCCCGGCCCGCTGCCCAGCCCTTGAGGGAAGCCACCGGCCCCGGGGAGCCGAGCGGAGCGGAGCGGAGCGGGGCAGGCGTGTCTCCACCGCCCGGCGCGCTTGGTGCCTCCTCCTTTTCCCGGGGAAACCCTCCCCTAACGAGAGATGCCGCGCCACCCCTGCTCACGCCCGGCTGCCCCCACCCTAGAAGGGAGCGGAAAACGGGGCGCAGGGGCGCCTCACCACCCTTGCTCGCTCCCAGGTGCCCCAGTTTGGGGCAGGAGCGACAAACCGGGTACAGGGGGCCCCCCGCAACTTTTCACTCTCCGCTTTGCTTCCCTCTGGCGGGGGCACGACAGCGGACTCGCGGGCTGAGCGGACCGAGGGGTCGAGGTCAGCGGCCCGTGCTTATTGTGTGTCTGCGCGTCCTGACACTAGGGAGGACGGACGTGGAGGCGACTAAGCAAGGTCGATTAATTAACGCACAGAGACGAATGCTTTTTGCCCTGAAAAAAGAGGAACGGTCGCTCCAGGATCCTCCCTTCCAAACTCGGGCGGACCGGGGCGGGGAGATGCTGTTTGACTAATCATTCATTCACCCGCGCAAGAGGGAGGGACTCCACCGCGGCCTCCGCAGCTGGGAGCTCAGTTGCCGCCGCTGCCGGAGCTGCGCCCTTCTCTGCAGCCCCGGGTGTCGGGGAGTCAGACCCCACGGAGGCCCCCATCCACATCTCGGCCTCCCGCCCAAACCATGGCACCCTCTGCTCAAGGTGGGGTGGGGGGAGGGGGGTACCGTGGAGGAGAGAAGAATTTTTTTAACCGAAGTATGAAGGCGCGGGGTGAGAATTAGGGGGGTGCTTGGAAAGTGTTGGGACCTGGTGATCAGTTGTCCTCAGAACTCACCGTCAGTCGCCAGCTTCCAATCCCCAAGAGTGGAAACTGGGTCCCTGCACGCCCGTCCTCCCGGGGGGGGGGGGTCGGCCTGGGTGGCTCCGAAGGGCTACTATTGACTAGCCAAGCATTTCTCTCAGCGGGACGCACCTAACAGTCTCCCAGCAAAGTGTGTGTAGCCGCAGAAACTATACCTTTGAAAATAAATTAGTCTGTTTGCTGACACACACAGTCTAGTTTCATCTTAACCCCTACCCGCTTTGGCGGTGGGGGTGGGGGTGTTTATTTGTTTTCATTTTTTCGAGTGGTTTGGAGGTTTCACCTAATTAACGCAACATTGCCAACATCTCGGCAGGCCAAGGAGCTGATAGGAGCGCATTGCTCTGATACGGGAAAAGTAAGAGAAGGGAAAGCTGTCATTAACTTGGCAGGCTCCATTTCCCTCTCAAAACAGATTTTCAGTGTAAAACTTAAAAGAGAAGAAAGATGATGTGTGGTTGGGTTCCCCACACACACACACACAAATAACCACCATGGCTCTTGGTACCAGGCAGCTTCTTGAAAATCAGAGTTTGTTTTCTCTATTTACTAACCATAAAGAAACAACATGCAAAAAGGAAAAAAAAGAAAAAGAAAACTAAACCCAGCTTTACCACCCAAGCCATAGTGACTGATTAAAAACTTATTACTACAGATAAGTACAATCAGTGGAAACCACTATCTCCTCTATCTAAAAAGATTCTCTCTGCGTGAGGATTTTAGATAAAGATGTTAATAGTGACTTAATTAAGGAAAAGAGAATACTGGGGAGGCTAGAAGACCTTTTATTGCCCTAGATTTCAGCAGTAGGTTGGGATAAACACACATTATGGAATTGCAGGACATTTGAAGACAGCACGTGACTTATTCTGATATGTCTTCCCTGGCACCAGCCATGCATCCTCAAGGGTTGGCATGACAAAATAAATGCTTTACGATGGACCCTAGGTGTGTGTGGTATTTCTCTACCCAGGGGCATGGTGCTTTGGGGTGCATGGGCACTCTCCCTGTAGGTACAAATCCAAAAACCACCTAGAAAACATTTTCATCTGCCTGGAAGTTTACAAATAGGGAAGATGTACGGAAGCTTTTGTACAGAAGCCTTTGGCAAATGTGTCTGCTTTTCTGTTTGTTCTAATCAGCTGCCATCAGTGATTTCCCTGGCCGCCCTCTGGGCAAATGGGCCTTACTTCTGAAAAGGCATCCTTCTCCCCAAAGGGCTTATCAGAGCTTCTCTGCATGCCCCGCTGCTGCTGCCACCACCCCTTCAAGTGACTCCTCTACAGCTGCCAGTTGGTCTCTGTCTACACAAAACAGAGATATTCTGGGGTCAAAAGGGAAAGAGAAGAAGAGGCAGGCCTATCCTGAAAGACACAGAGATCTACTTTCACATTTAAAATAAATGGTGGTACTATCCAAATCCAAAATGCTCTTGATTGAAATCAAAAGGTGAACAAGATGTATGTTGGGCTCTGTTTATGACACTTTTCAAGGAGGAGGAAATGTGGCCCAAAGACGATGATTTAACTCAGGATCTGTCCCAGTCTCAGTTAGACAAAGTGCTGTCTCATCCTCTTTAGAGCGAAATATATAACCTAATCAGACTGAAAGGGAACCAGGCCTGTGGCAGGAGAAATTCTTTTCATCTCCTTGCAAAGCCATGATGCTGAATGTGCACTGAAAAATCCAACTAAATATAGAATTTAGTAACGTGGATGCAAAGGTACTTCAAGAGAAATTACATCAACCCATTTCCTAAAAACAGAAATAAGTAGACCTTCCCCAGAGGCACCCTGGTAAAGGAATTGCGACACCAACCTCTAGAGAGAGCCCCCAGGATTCCATAACTACAGGAGGGTTTCACTTTATAAAAGACACTAGTCTAGGCATTTTAGACTTGGTAAAGATAAGGGAAGGTGCTAGCAAAGAGCTTACAGTCCAGTAAGATAAAGCATGTTTGTAAATGAATGCAGTGCAAGGTAGGAAGAGGTAGAAATAACATGCCTTGCCATGGAAGTGAAAAGGAGGAAGAGATTAAGCTTCCTGGAGGGGGTGGCACAGGACCTGAGCCTTGGAAAAGGGCGAGCCTTTAGTAGGGGGAAGGGCAATCTGGAAACAGCAGAGAGCAACAGCAGGGGGATCCACAGTTTATAAAGAGAATGGGGAGCAGTTGTTCAGTTGGCTCTGTAGGCTGAGCAAGAGTTGCGAGAAGGCCTGGAGGTACAGGGAGCCCTTGAAGGACCCTTCCCAGATGAGCAACAGGACGTCTACCATGGAGCAAGTGCCCAGTTCTTTGAAACAATCAGACAACATTTCTTTAAAATGGAAATTATTTCTGTAGGTGTGTTCAGCAGTCTTCAAATTTAGTCTTTTCTAATCATGAGACTGGAGAACACCCTTCCCACCTGCCTCCATTGGAAAGGGTTTAGGTGATGGTGTGGATACCACGCATTTATCAGTGTTTCTCCACTTCTTTAGCCATGGCTATGTGATTCTTTTTGAGATGAAAGTAGAAATGCTGCTTTTCACTATTTTTTAAAGGCACTGGAGATCTTAGAGATCATATAAACTAACTCTCTGCCCTTTCGCTTTAAAAACGAGAATTCTAAGGGCTGAGTGGTAAAGGACTCGCCCAGAGTCATACAGCTAAGTTAATGACACAGCCCATTTAAACAGAGCCCCTGTGGCTCTCTGATCATGGTGCTTTCCAGTACAAATGTTCTGCCTTCTTGAGTCATTAGAATTATGAGAAAGGACCACTGGATGTTTTAGATATGATGCAAATTAAAGTTACAAAGTTGGCACAATAGTTACTCAAATATCTATTGAACTGAACTGGCACCCACAGCACAAGTTGTAAGACCATAGAAAGCAGATCACAACTTTGCTCACCGGTTGAACAGTGAATTTACTCTTGGGTCACTGGGCTAAACAGTTAAAGAACTCTTCTGGGCTTTACTACTTGTTTGCTTTGTTTCTGGTCTTCAGACAGTGGTGGGTACCATTGAAGCTGATGAGAAGTCCTCTAGATTCTGCCAGAGGGCTCTGATGTCATTCCAAAAACATCAGAGGCTCTGAAATTACTTTTTTGTGGGGTGGGGAGAGTGGTGGACAATGAATCATTTCACTGATATGGGCCTATTTTACTTAAATGACCATTGTTAAAACAATTGTTAAGTCATTAACTTGATCTGTTCTCATTAACCATTTTCTCCATGGTTTGTAACCTTCAGATTCTTTCAATATGGCTGTGCTCACTAAAGGGTTTATCCATTTCTAAAGCAGGGCATTTTGATCAAGATGATAGGACCAAGGCATTTTTAGACATAGTTCCATGGAAATAACAGTCACTGGTTTGGGGTTTTTTAAAAAATTTATATTATAATAAATAAATACCCCTTTACTCCCCTGGCCCTCACTGACCCCCTGACCCCACCCCAATCCCTGCCTCAAGGATGATGGTATGTCATGAATAATGGGGTAAGTGTCACCTGTTTCACATAGTACTTGTTTATTTAAATGTCCCAAACAACCAGAGTGGAATGTCATAGATTCC